AATCATTTTTTTTATTTTTAACAAAAGAACAACTCTTTTGAAAACAAACGGTTATTTATTATTGCAAGAAATGTAAAAAGGTGCTAAAAAAGCTCAGAAGTTAGAATCTAGAGACTTTTGGAAAATCTTCAACATCCTTAACAAAGGAAGGTCTAACATTCTCATTCATGGGACTTATCTTACTACCTCTCATAAGGATAAGGCTGTACTATTTTCTTCTAATTTGACTCTTGAATCTTATGGCCATTCTCTTTCTTCCATTCCAATTAAACAAGTTAACCTATTGTTAGACATTCAAATCACTTCAGCTTCCGTTGCTAAAGCCATATCTTGATTAAATTCTTCTACGGCTTGTGGTCCAGACAATATTTCTGTCATAATCTTACAAAATTGTTCTCCAGAACACTCTTCAATTCTCTCTAAACCTTTTAATAAATGCTTGACTGAGTCTTGTTTTCTTGCCTGCTGGAAAATGACATCTGTTGATCTAATTTTCAAAAACTTTGGTGAACATTCTGACCCCTCCAATTATCATCCAATCACCCTTCTTTCTGTTATTAGCAAGGTCTTTGAATCTTTGATAAAAAAGTTTCTCACATCCCTTCTTGAGTCAGATGACAACTTATTGTCAGGCAATCAATACGGTTTTCAATCCTCTCGCTCTATGGCTGACTTGCTAACTGCTATGACTTTAAGATTTTATGGTGAACTAGATGGCAGAGAGGCTAGGTCTATTGCTTTTGACATAAGGCTAAGGCTTTCGGAAAAGTTTGGCATGCTGGTCTTCTCTATAAGCTTGTTTCATATGATGTATCTGGGAAAGTTTTTGAAATTATCAAATAATTTCTTTCTAACCACTTTGTTAAAGTCATCCTCGAAGGCCAACATCTTTTTTATTTCCAGTAACTTCTGGAGTACCTCAAGGTGCTACCCCTGTTTTGTGCAGACCCTTGGTTCTGTTTTGTTTCTTATCTACATTAATGATCTTCCTGACAACCATTCATATAAAAAAGCTCTTTTTGCTGATAACTCAACTTTATACTCCTGTCTTGACAAAAAGTCTTCTCTTTTTGATCGCTTAGAACAGGCAGCTGATCTTGAATTTGATCTCACTTCTGTAACAGATTGGGGCACACAATGGCTTGTAAATTTTAACTCCAACAAAACTCAGTTATTTACTGCAAATAAATATGACAGTACTGTCGGAATTCCTAATTAATGAATGGCAACTCTCTCACTGAGTCTTCTTTTTTATGTCTTCTTGGATTATCGTTTACTACTGACCTTTCATGGAAACCATATATACAATCGATTGCTAAATTAGCATCTACTAAGGTTGCTTCTCTTTATGATTCTTGCCATTTTCTCTTTCTTGATTCCATTCTCTACCTCTACAAATCTCTTATTTGTCCCTGTATGGAATACTTGAGCTGGTTCATATTTGAGCTGGTTCTTTTAATGATGCTATTTTTCTTTTAGACAAGATAAAAAAACTCATTGTAAACATAGTTGGACCAGGTCTATCTGCTAAGCTTGAGCCTCTTTCCAACCATCATAAAGTTGCATCTCATTCTCTTTTCTACAAATACTATCAAATACTCATACAACCTTCAACTTTTCAAGTCTTCTGCTAACCATTTCCTATAACTCTATACTTTTTTTTCTAGTAACTCCCAACTTAATAGTGGTTGCTTGTAGCCTTGTTGGGAGTGAATCAAAATAAAATTAAAAAAAAACTGACTCCTGAATTCTTTCCTTTAAGAATCTATTAATTTGGAATAAAAACATTATTAAACAGTCAATGTTATTTAATTATATTATAATATTATTTAATAATATTATTTAGTTAATTACTGACAACTTTTTAATTCAGAACTTTGATCATTATTTGTGTGTCATGTTATTGTCTAGTATTTTTACATTGTAAGCCATTCCTTCAGCCATTCTTTACTTTGTTAATACAACTATAGTTAATAATAATAATAATAATATTTATTTTGTTTTCATAATAATAAGACTATTTATTGTTGAAATTTAACAAAATAACAATTAAAATAGTTTATAACATAAATTTTATTGTTTGTAATGTTAAATGAGAGTGTGTAATAAGCACACTATATCAGCTTGGGACTAATATATTGGTCTAATTGTTTTTTGAAAATTTTAAATTCTCTAAATAAAGAACCTAATAATGTACTCAGCCTTACAGCACTGCCTGCCAGCTTTTTATCTCATATAAAGCCAATTTTACATAGTTTTTTTATAATTGCTTTGTTTTTTAAATACTTTCACTGATCAGATAGCCTGATAGATGGAAGAAGACAATTCTATACAGTGGCTATTCTATTAAGAATAAAATTCTCTCTTAATGGACAACTTTACTTTATTAATTCTATTTTGAATCGCATGGGATTTCTTCTGTATGCAAATTGTTCCAGTACTTTTCAGATATTATTATTATTTTTGATGTAGTGTACACTATTTAACTTATATTAAACCTTGGACAATTTTGAAGCACTTAATTAAATCTTTTTCTAACCTATGAGTTTCTAGCGTTGCAATATTAAACTTTTTTAATCGTGATTTATAACTTGAATAATAAGAGACTTCTTGTTTGAGTTGCTCTTATTTGAATTTTTTTAAGAGCAGTTATATCGTATTTTTTTAATGGATTCCAGATTGGTGCTGTATAATTAAAGAGGGGTCTATATTTTAGCAATTGAGATAGTGTAAAACTTAAAAGTGTGTTAAAACCTAGCATTCTGTTAGCTCTGTTGGTGCAGTAATTGATATGTTGGCTGTATTTTCAATCAGTAGATGTCATAACGACTAGGTCTTTTTCTAAATCGAAGACTGCAATTCGAACTTGTATGTTATGATCATAGTCAAAGAGTATTTTCTCTTTTTTTATTATACATACCAAAATGCAATGTTTTCTATATACTTACATTAAGTTTTATCTTCTATACAAGACACTATTTGGCTATTGCAACTATATCATTTTGTAATTCATTTCTTAGTGACTTGATTTTGTCCAGCTCAGCAAGAGTATTACTATTGGCGTATATTTTTGTTACGTGGAAAAGTTGATAAGGAAAGTCATTTACTTATATTGTGAATAAAAGTGGTCAAAGTATTGATCCTTGTATTACACCACTTCTAATTGAACTCCAGTCAGACTGATTTTCACCAAGTACTACTCATTGTTGTCTGTTTATTAAGAATGATTTTATCCATGCACCAAATTTATGATTAAAACTGTAAGATTTAATTTTATGGATAACATGTTCCTGTGATACAGTGTGGAATGCTTTTGCAAAATCAGTAAATAGAATGTCGACTGGATGTTTGTTATGTAAAGCTGTATCAACAATGTGTTGACACTCTAGCAATCTTGCAACACACCTCTTTTTTGGCATGAAACCATGGCATTGCGACTTGATAAGAAATTAGCTTATAATTACTTGCAATAAGTTGACTACCGTTTTTGAGTAGTGATGTAAGGTTTGCTTGACTCCATTGCCTTGGTAATGATCTTGAATTAAAACTTTTTATGAAAATTATTTTTAGTGGAATACAAAATAAGGTTGCACAGGTTTTAAGAACATATAGACTTACGCCATTAATTCCAAATTATTTGTGAATATTTAAATTTTCTAGTTTCTGTAATACTGTGGTTTCACAAAAAAGTAGATATGCATTATCATTTGCTTAACTTAAGGAGTGGTTCTCAAATTCAGGAAATTTATATTATTTGTGAAGACTGATTTAAAGACTGTTTGTTAAATATATTAGCTATTGTCTTTTTGTTGGTGTTTAAATTGTTTAAACAACAACAAAAAAACACCATGTTTGTCTTGTAACAAATTGACAATTAAGTTTAATTTTTGTTTCAATTTAACATACAAAAAGTAGTTTTTAGGTTCATTTTTTATCTTAATTAATTAATGACAATTGGAATTGCATTTTCTGATTTTTTTTATGCTTAAATAAACTTTTGCATGTTTTTTGATATTCCATTTTGTTCTCATTTATGAAGTTTATTGTTGAGTTCAACATTTTAGATGTTATACGAAATTTTTACCATGCATACCATTTTTATGAGTCAAACCATTTTGGTGCATTAATATTTTGCTTGTTTAGTGTTTTAACAGAAATCCTAATCAGTAAAATAATCGTATCGTAACAGTGTTGAATAGAGTTGCAGGGTTTAAGTAATTATGACCAAT